TATATATATATATATATATATACACTCTTTACTCCCTTCCATTCGACAAGGACACTGTCTTCACACTGACGGTTCCCGTTGTTCTCCCTCCTCTCGTGCTGGACTGCTGTAGACCCTCCACCTCCTCCGTTGCGGGTGTGGTGGTTGCAGAGGTCGCCAACACGGCGGTGTAGTTGCTGCTGAATCCATTATATTCCCCGTGCATGAACCACATTGTCTGCCCGGGGGCCACGATGGCCTCCACGGCGCAGCGGCCGGAGTCCACGTCCCCCAACGGGGTGCGCTGCGCCGCGCCGAGGGCCTCCACGGCACTCTCCGGCCCAAAGACCACCCGCACACGGACTGCATATGTGTAGGTGTCGTTGTAATAGGCCCACGTGTGGTGTCGATCATCCACGAGTCGAAATAGAATGCCACCCTCAACATCAAAACAACGGAAGATGCGATCATAGTGGAATTCCTTTGCTGGGCCGGGGCCTTTAAACATATCGGGATCCATGTCGGTTACCTGCACAGACTTACAACGCCCTTCAGAGCCATTATGAACGTGAACGATTGTTGGTTCCTGTCGGGTGGGAGCTGGCTCACTCTCTAATGAGGAGGAGACACCAGCGGCGGGCATCACTACCGGAGAGGAGTTGCCCTCCTCCGTGCGACTCTTCCGTCTAAAGACAGGCAATTTAGATTCATCACCATTATCATTATTATTATTATTATTATTATTATTATTATTATTATCTTCTTGTTGCTCATGAACATTTTTAATATTCTTTTTATTTCTATTATCATTATTATCTTGTGGTTCATCATCAGAGGTGTTATCAATAGTCGATGCCACAACAATCACTTCACGATGCACAGCTGCAAAGTTTACCTGCGTCTCTTCTCCGTCACTTAATACTTCCTTCACCACTGCTTGGATTGCCGTCGCCTTGTAATTTCCTCCCGGCATGCGCTTCTGCGTGGACTCCTGCTGTCCCTCATGTAAGTGGATCTTGTTATCACCAGAATCAACGTAACTCATATTTACGTCCCACTCGGTGTGAAGCCAATACAAAGAATAACGATAAAATATTACCTTGATTAGGTCGTTACACTTGTTTTGTTCGTTTTGTCTTTTTTTTTTTTTTACAGGCAGATATTCCCCTCTATGGTTCCTTCTTTTTTTAAATATATATATATATATATATATATATATATATATATATATATATATGATCCTTCTTATTTCTTTCTCTTTGTTCTTTTTTTTTTTCTTTTTTACTTTACTTTATGCCGGCTATCACTGTGTTTTCTCCACCACTCATTATTAAGGGAACAAAAGAGAGAGAGAGAGAGAGAGAGAGAAATAGAAATTAGATAAATAGATAGAAGAGAAAAGAATTCAAATACCAAACAGAGATTCTGTGAGAATGTATACATTCCTCCCACACACACTACACGACATCATACACATATGCGTTTGTACACATACACAACAACAAAAAAAAAATAATAATAAGACGCACACAAACAAACAAACGTATGCACACCCGACAGCAGATAAGAAACTGCAATAGAATAGAGTGATTAGAGGAGTGTATCAATGAATGAATGAATATAAGAAAATGAGAATGACAAAAAAAAAAAGTAAGAACAAACAAAGAAAAAAAAAGAGATGAAAATAAATGATGCAAAATAATAATAATAATAATAATAATAATAATAATAATAAAGATAATAATATAGCAAAGTCTTTTTCTTCCCCATCTACACTTCACCCCAACAAACTTACAACGCTACACAGTCGAAAAGTAAAATAATAAAAGTATTGGAATGAACTCCCCCTCCTTTTCTCTTTCTCTCTTTCCTTTTTTTTTCGTGTATCTATGTATGTACATTAGAGTGCGAGAGAGCAAGCGTTTGACAAGAGGAATAATAAATATAGTCTACACCTAAACTCCTTTTTCTCTCACAACGTACAATCATAACAAGGCAGAGGGGAAAGGCAATAACACCTCAACCTCCTCATTATTATTATTATTATTATTATTATTATTATTATTATTATTATTATTATTATTATTATTATTATTCATTCCTTTATTCCTTCTTTCCTTCCTTCCTTCATCTCTTTACGCAATACCATTAACATATACATGGTAACAAGAAGGTGGTGTAAAGTCTACCATTAGCCCATCCATCCATCCATCCATCCATCCACACACACACACCTCAGAGAAATAAAGAGGAATAATATGCGTGGGATTTCTTTCAAAGAAAATCCCCAGCCGCTCCTCCACAACAACAAACTGTAGTCTCTTCGTGAAATGAAGATAAAGGAGATATCATTTATATTTGTTCTTCAGTCAAACTGCAAGGCCAGAACCTTCTCACCCACTCACCCATCCACCTTTTTTTTCGCAAGCTCTCAGAAAGGAAAAGAAGAACAAAAAAAAAAGGAAAAAAGACGTGAGCCGCTAAGCGAGAAAAGAGATCGCACAAAAGTGATACTCCTTTTCTTCATATCCATTCATTTCTCTCAGCATCATTATCATTATCATTATCATCATAATTCCCACATAAGTACAGAGTCCTCATCATTCACTAGCATTACATCACTCCCCCCTCTCCACCCCCATTATTCCATACACACACACACACAGAGAGAGAGAGATAAATATAAATATATGGGCACAAACCCCTTTTCCAGATAATATTAAAAATATAAATAGAAAAATACATCTTTAAACACGCAGTAAAACAAAAAGAAAAAAAAAAATCATCTAGATCATCACATTCGATAATGCAAAGACCCTGTCCACTAAACACACACACACACTATCTCTTCCTTCTCCTTCCATATAATTGCAGAGTGTTTCCACTCACCACACCGCAAAGAGGTAGGATAGGGTGAAAAGAAGCCGCACCGGGCTGTTGCATAAGTCGAATATGAGTCTTACCACTAGATACTGTTGATGTTATTCCTCCTCCTCCTCCTCCTCCTCCTCCTGCTGATGTTGTTGTTGTTGGGGAGAACTGACCAAGGGCGTCTGTTAAAAAGAGTGCATCTGCTGTTACAGACATGGTTGTGAGTTGGCTATTATAATGTTGAATATCCATATACCGTACGGAAGTGAGGGTAGAGGTGCTGGTGGCTGCAGCGTCAGAGACGACAGTCTGATAAAGCGGCTGTCGAATATAACGATCATCCCACATCAACACAATACCCTGTTCTCCACCATAGCCAGTCACTATACCATGTGGATAACGGCATGAGAAACCAATGTGTAGACATAATGAATTATTGTAATCCCCCAATATAGGTCGTTGTTGTTGTTGTTGGTGTTGGTGGTGGTGTTGTTGTAATGTTTCCCCTAAGGATGTGGGATCTCGCAAGATGTGTGTAGCACTAGATGGTTTCCGCAAATCATAAAGATAAACAGATGTTGCCCCTACAGCTAATGTAAAAGCATCATAGGGGTGTGAGGCCACCGTTGATGGAGTACCACGAAGTTCACCATACCCAAGATCCTTTGAAACTCTATGTTCATATTCTAAATCCCATGATGTGATGGATCCATCTGCCCCAGAAAGATGTAATAACATCGCAGGAACATGATAACTAGAAAGACACTGATGACTTCTAAGAGATTCTTCACGCGTCATGGTCCTAAAGGATGTTACTCGTCGAACAGTGGCTGCATTGGTGTAGGAGGAAAATAACTGTACAGATCCGGATCGAGTCACTGCACACAGTAATGAACGATAGGCGGCATCTATGAGATGTAATCCTGTGAGTGGATCATCTTTTGTTTTTGATCCTCGTCCATTATTATCGCCCAGCGTGGAATGATAATTTCCACCCCGCTGTGCTAATGCCGGAGGTGTGCTGTACATATACCGTAAAAGACATGAGGGTGGTACAATAGAATCCGGTCGTGTTACTACATCTGATATTTGAATATTTGCTAATAAATGACAACCATCAATGGCAGTAGATGTAGAAACTTCCTTTGCTGGGGAAGTAGTAGTAGTAGTAGTAGTGGTAGTAGTGGCAGTGGTGGAATATCCATTTTCTTCTGAAAGGGACCAAACCTGAATTACACCTTGATCTGTTCCCGTAATAATATGTCGATCGGTTGGATGAAATGTGAGTACTTGTACATGACCATCACGTTCTACAAATGTATTTTTCTCACATAAAAGTTGATACGATGCATCCCGTTCTTTACTAGATGTTTTAGGTGTATCCCCTCCCGTAAAAAAAGAAGCTGTAGAATTCATAAGAGGTGAGAATACTGGTGTACGACCCCTTCCTTCATCATCTAGAGAGAACATTTGCATGAAGCTTGCAGAACGTGTTAAGAAGGTTGAACCAGATGGAAACAAGGGAGACATCGCCAGACCATATACATCGTTATCATGATATCCAAATCCAACAGATGAAGATATTTGTAATCCATTACGAAGTCGTTGTAGATATTTTCGAAGTTGTGTATCCTTATCAAGATTAAACGGGTGTCGAGGATCACAGTCATCCAGAGGTACAAGTAACAACTCTGAAAGAAATGAGAGGATGGTAAAAACAAAGGAAGTAACAGTGGAACTATCATGTACAGAAATAGCACGCAGTGAAACGCTCGTCTCTGAAACTCTTCCTTTTCCACTACTCGAACCAACACCAACGCCAAGCCCAACTACTCCTGCGTTTATACTCGCACCAATAGAATCCACCCCGCTATCTTCATTCAGGCTTCGCAAACCTCCATTACTTTGACGATCGCCTCCTCGCATATCTGGCTTTACGCCACGTGAAGTAATGGTACTAAAAATATCGGATAAAAAATTTACAATACCGGAATTATTAGAAGTCGCGGGTGGACCAACACGACCGCAACACGCAACAGCATCGGAGGTATGAAAACAAAAGAAACGTCGCAGTTGAAGAAAAGAAAGATCGTCTAGCAATACTTTACGTGCGTGTGTAGCCACAAAAGGACATGGATCTTGTGTAGCCACCGCAAGTCGATCTGCAAATGTGGTTAACAATGTCAATAAATGGTTTACCGCACCTGTAGACATGGAAGTGGAAGTAGAAGTAGAAGAATCCAATGCCACTTCCCCGGATACTGTAGTAGTAGTAGATTCAAACACATTTATATTTCTTGTCGTTGTTGATGTTTTTCTTCTTGTTGTTGAAGTAGGGCGTAACGGTGAGCGTGATGGGGGATGATCCACATCAGAAAAACGCCTTGTATTTTTAATATTATTATTATTATTATTATTATTGTTATTATTATTATTATTAGTATTAGTATTATCTCGAGAAGATGGATCCATCATTGGGCGATGCGCTCTCGTTAACTCGGAATGCACGGTCTGTCTTATTTCCTCTATAGACATGGTAGACGAGAGAGAATCAATTAACCACTTCATTGCCAGAAAAAAAGCTGCAACAAACTCTAAACGATTATCTGTATTACCTTCCCATGGTCCAACATGGATTTCGCTGCATTCGGCGATGACTTGAATACATTCCAATGCGGTCTCTTTATTGGTGATAGGAGATATCATGATGGCAGTAAGGGCCTTTAGAGAAGCCCCACGCACCACAGATGGATATGCCCCAAGTAATGATCGCAAAGCTTTAATAGCGCTTGAAAGATGTACCCGTGCAGATAGTAGAACTTCCTTCTTCTCTGGTTCATCCATAGTAGCAGGTGTGAGAGGTTCATTCTCCCATATTAATGACACCAGTAAAGCAATAAGAGAAAGTACATACATTGTAGTTATAGATGATGTATTATAGTTTTCTGTCTTTTCAAAACATTTATTAGAGGGTTTAGATTCCCAAATACTCTCTTCACTATCACCACCACCACCACCACCTTCTTCTCCAACTCTTCCTCCTCCTTCTTCTTCTGCTATTCCACCAGTTAAACCTTCTTTTTGATCTTGAGGTTGCATAAATAATGTATTCATAACTACACCAAACGTATTCACAACTGTGGTATTAGCTGCAGTCTGCAAGAGTTTACAACATACAGGTAGAGCATCACGTTCACGACAGCGACGTCGACTTTCTCTGGAGTGTAAACAAAGCATAGCGAGTAGGGAGGCTGCCAACAACTGTTGACCCCGTGGTTTTACCCAAGGTCCTAAAACTTCATGCTGCCAAGCACCAGGGACTCCAATAGAATTAGTCATAATCTCCACTGGAGAAGTTAATAATTCCAAAGACTTTTCAAGTACAACATTCCGTTGGGTTATATCTATACCTGCCAGAGCTGGATCAGTATAACAGGCCTTTGTATAGATAAATAATAAAGCTGGTAAAAGATGTTTTAAATCATCTCGTCTCCAGTAATGCATTAAAGCCATATTAAATATTCCCACCTGTGCAGAAGCGGCTACTGCAGGAGGACCAGCATCTACCAATCGACAAACCAATTCAGTGGCTCTATCTCGGTGAGATATCACCAATAAACCTTGAAGTAACATGGGCAAACTTGTAATAAAAGGAAACGGCATTGTTGCCGTACTGCCTACTCCTACTCCTAATCCTCCAACACTAACACCACCACCCGCTTGGGTTCGAAAAAACAAAAGAGAATGTTCACTTAACTCTTTACTATACGATGATCGTTTTGCTGACTCACCAAAACGACCAAATGTTTTTTCTTCTTGATGATGATCCAGTGATGTGGATTCACTACAACCAAGACGAAAGAAACTCTGCTCTGTAATACGTTCACAAGAAGCCGCCATAACTCGCAGATCTTCTTCCAGAAAATCTGGAACCACAACAGCATTATCTTTTAATGATGGTAATGACATAGATCCTTGTGTATAACGCCATTTAATTACATTCCAATCCAGCCATTCTCGAAATTCAAGAGTTGTTAATACTTTTGGGGGTACTGGCTGAACAGCATGTTGTAAAGAAACCAAAGTTCGTTCAATAATATTATCTAAAGTATCCCATTTTGAATGAGCGTTCGTACGTGGTAAAGGTGGATATACCGTTATTGTACCCCCTAAAGCGGTAATAATACGTTCCGCAAGCAAATATCCACGAAATAATGGAGCTACAACAACGTCTTCTCGGAAAAGATGCATAAATAAGGAATAAGGAAAAGAAGACCATGCAATAGATTCTGCAATAGACATGAAAGCCCATTGTAATTGACCAAGTGGAGTCTTTTTATCTTCTAATGAACCTGGAATAAGATACATAAGAAGAGGATGAATATCTGCTGTGTGTGTATTCTCTGCAATAAACCAGAGCAATGCCATTTGTACTGGTGTGGTCAAACAAGATGTGAGAATATCAGATGGCAACATTGGATGTTGTGGTAATTCCCCATCTTCTGTTGCCCCGATAAAAAAGAAATCATCACGTAATAATGGACCTGTAGGTGATGCTGCACCTGATCCTAATCCACGTAAACCCATTAAAAAGGAGGTATTATTAACATTTGTAGTCCCTGTGGTACTATCTATACCACCAACACCAGCATTACTCGTCGTATTCGCATTAGTCGTTGTTGTTGCTGTCACATTTGTACCAGTAGTCGTCGTTGTGGTTGTGCCATCATATCTTCCCCAACTTGGTAAAACCACTTCTGAACGATCGGTATCATCTAAAGCGGATCCACTAATTGTTTTACCATATCTTCTATATGTAAGGTGTTGACTATCTTCATCCATTTGTCGGGTTTCTAAAAGGTGTTTTAAAATACTTCCAGCATTCGCACAGTCGGCTATCATGACAAGTGGAAATCCAACCTGTAATCGAAGTGCATCCAGTGAATATTTAACAGAATCTCCAGAAGGAGAAACAAGATAGAGTGAACCATTTCGTGGTCTTGACACTCCATACCCTCCATAGTGTAATATAACTTTACCCTGTGCACCTGCCTGTTGACGACATTGTCTTAAACTTCGCATAAAATCTTCTGGTCGTGCATTGTGAGAATGACTTACTATAAAAGAACGTTTCGAAAGAGATCGATACTGTCTCTCCAGTTGCCTCCCCAATTCATTTAAAATATCATACTTATCCCCTGGTAATAACGCTGGTATACGCCATAGATATAAATGTGAGGTTTCCCGTGGTAAACCCTCCTCACCGGATATTAAGATACTACCACCACTACTCCCATCATGTGTCCAAATATCGGGATCAAGATTGAGACTCAACACTAATGCCGCTGTTGTTGTCGTCCTCACATTCGTGCGAGCCGCAACCACACGTGGACGATAAGAAGATCCCCGCATCAATGCCTCTTCATCCCATCGTTGGTAATGTACACTCTGATGAAACCATCCCTCTTGAACTAATCTTCGCCATCGTCGCCGTTCCACCGCCTCCATCTCGGCATCTGTGTAGGGTCGCAGTAAAGACATGTGTTCACAATTCCCATCATTACACGTGCAGGCGGTGCCCGTGCGTTTAGATGCGGATGTTAACAGTGTAGGGGGCGGAGAGGGGGCGGATGGTATCACTAGTCGTATTTGCAAGGACGATGCGTCTGTAGTCATTTACCGGTTCGGTCGTGAAGGGAGGGGGAATAGGGAGATTGCAACGATATAAACAAATAAATAAAAAAAAGAAGATTACCGAATACGTCAAATTAAATTTAAAAGAAAAGAAAACTATTCAAAAAAAATTCAGTTTTCTTTTCTTCAGGCCCTACCCCCGCGCACTATAGGCAGAGACACAGACAGATACACACTCACACACAAAGAGAAATAGATAGATAGATAGATAGATATAGAATCTCTCTCTATCTATCTATCTTTCTCTTTCTTTCTCACCCTCCAACGTCCAATAATAAGAGACGAAAATGAAAAAAAAATAAATAAATAAACGCCGAATAAGCAATAAAAGAAACACGACGTTTATTTTTCTTTCCTTTTTTTTTTCTTCTTCTTTTCTCCAATTTGATTTTTTTTATTTTTTTCTTCTTCCCTTCTCCTTTTCACTACGCCTGGAATAGGGAAAAAAAACACAACTAAATAAAAACAAAGATCTATCTATAATTCCGCCAAACTTTTTTTTATGTGTCGCTTTATTTCTTTATTTTTCTTTCTTTATTTTTCTTGAAATCTAACTTCCTTTTAAAATTCCCCTATTCTGTCCTTCCAGTAGCCCTGCGTCTACCACCATACACATAAAGAGAGAGCTCTCCTTTTATTCTTTTTTTCTTTTTTTAATATATGGTTACGTTTTGGGTATTTGGTGGAATGCGTCCCTTGTGAAGATAAAGAAAAACCAACATTTTGCAGAAAGAGAGAAAAAGAAGAAAAGAAAAAAAAAAAGTCATTACAATATAAACACACTCACATACACAGATAGATAGATACATGGATAAAGGTAAGAAAAGAAAAAAAAAAAAAAAAGAAAAAGCACCATAAGCCATCTCTACTTGCTAAAACGTGCACTATGAAAATTGAAATAAAAATAAAACTGCATCTCATCTAGCCACATTTACAAAGAGACACAAGTGTATAAAATACACAGGAAGTAAAAAACAAAAAAAGAAAAAAGCGGGTCACATATGCATAAAGTAAAAAAAACAAAACAAAGATAAAAAAAAAAACAGAAAGAGAGGGAGAAAGAGAGAGGGATAGGGATGAAGAAAGAAAAAAAAAGGGGGGGATGCGGTCAACAAAAAAAAAAAACGTCATCATCATCTTTATCGTAATGGCGATTAATGAATGGGATGTCAATGGCCCATTCAAGTTTCACTTAAACACATACATGGAAACAGGTCAAATATAGCTAGATGTAAAAAAATAAATAAATAAATAAAAACAATGAAAGAAAGAAAAAAGAGATAAAAATAAATAAATAAATAGATAGAAAAAAAAAAAAAGAGAGGAAGGAGGTGTGACTCAGAAACCCTCCACTCTTCACTACTCACATAATTCGTCAACACTCCTGGTACTTTCTTTAGACATTGGGTTCTTTTTTTTTTTCTGTTTTCCTTTTGTTCTTTTTATTTTATGGTCAATCTCCTGCTTTTTTCTTCTGTTTTCTGTTTTTTTTTTTTTTTCTTTTTATTCTCAGTTGGGTTTTACTGTTCTTTTCTCTTTCATTTTGTTTTTCTTCTTCCTTTCTTTATCAGCAAAAGAGAAAAGATCCCAAACTTTGGATATCAAGAGCACGTAAAAACCCCACCACAAAAAAAAAGAGAAAACGAAAAAGGTCCAAGAGAACCAGGGTTGGAAACAAGAAAAAAAAAAAAAAGCCATTATTATTTCTTTTTTTTTCTTTGCAAACATCTTATTTATTATTTCGTCAGACTGTAAATATCATTTTTTTCTTTTTTTTGGCTTAATTCACATCTCACGAGATGGGATTTTAGATATTCCTAAAAACACACACACACACACACACACACACACAAACAGCATTAGAGAAAACGTAGGAGACTGCGTCTCTTTCTTCACTTTTTCTCTCTAATAATGCTGTTTGTGATGTTAACGTTTTGTCTTTTTTTCCTTTTCTCTCTCTTTTTTTTTCCTTTTTTTTAAAAAAAAAAAAAAACTTTCTTCGCTTCATTTCTCATCTACCAATATCCCCACTTTTTCTTTTTCTCCTTTTTTTTTGACATTTTCTTTAATCATATCCTCTTTTCTCTCCCTCTTCTCTTTCTCCCTTTCTTTCGTTATTTCTTCTTTTTTTTCTTTTAATTTAATTTTAACCATACATATATATATATATATATATGTATATATACTTTCCTCCCTCTACAAGCGGTATACCTGTTCATCCTGGTGTGAGCGTGCCTCGAGTGTGTCGATGCTCCATCCGGTCACTTTCCCCTCCACGAACATTTCCGTTGCGAGTGGGGGGACGTCGACCTCCGCGAGGTATTTCCCCATGTCGTCCTCGCGGCCCGCCTCCGGGTCGTCAATGCGGAAGGCGTTGGTGGAGCCGAGCGGGACGATTTGACTGTCGTAGTCGAAGAGCACCGCGACGTGCATGGTGTAGTCCGGGGAGTCGTTGTAGAAGCCCCAGCGGCCGTTCTTGCGGTCGCTCAGGCGGAAGAGAAGGCCGTTGAACATCGGATGGACCTCCGTGGCGTCGTCAAAGGTCGGCTTGCCATTGCGGTACGAGGTGGACGAAGAGGAACCCATCACAGATACTTGTATATAGATATATATATAGATATATATAGATATATATAGATAAAGTGTTTTTCTGTTTGTTTGTTTGTTTGTTTGTTTGAACCCTAGTTCTTGTTGTTTAGCGACAAAAGCCTTTTTTATTGCTTTCTGTGTAGTAAATTATAATAATAATAAATAATAATAATAATAATAATAATAGTAAATGGAGACAAGAGATTGGGAAGAGTAAAATGATAATAAAGCAGCAGATAAGGGATAAAAATATATAAATACCATCAAGACAGTATGAAAACAGAAAAAAAAAAAAAGAAATAATAACAATAATAGTAATAATGAATAAATCATCTTTTTTTTTTTTTTTTTACCATTCTTTCGTCATCTTTTATTTTCTTTCTTTCTTTCTCTCCTTACACATTTTTTTCTTGCTTTTTTCTTTCTCTCTCCATAGATTTGTTCATGTGAAAAACAGAAATACGTAAAGAAAGAAAAAAGTAATAACACCTAAACATAGAGATTCACCATTAAATAGATGGACGAAGAAGAAAAAAAAAAGAAATAGGAAATAAAAACAAATAAAACAAAATAAATAAACTCAAATCAAAAAAAAAAAAGTAAACGATGAATATGACTGAAACTAGGAGAGTTCCCTTTCTTTTTTTTTGTTTCTCATTCTCTTCTTTTGACTCTCTTTCGCTCTCAGTGATTCTTTCCGTTTCTGTCGAGTCAAATATATATATATATTTTTTTTTATTTATTTAATCAACCTCCCTAATGATATCAGGTCAGTTTTAAAATAAAGATAGCTCTCACATCTCAGAGAAAACAAAAAAAAAGAACATTAACTCATTCTTCTTTGATCTCTACACTGTTTTTACGTCTTATTTCTACATCACCCTTCTCTTTTCTTTTTCTTTTATTATCAACTCGGTAATCATTATAAGTGATGAAGAAGACGGACATCAACAGTCATCAGTAAAAACAAAACAAAAAGACAAAGGAAGAGAAAGGAAAATTTACGGGATCGCAGACTACTGCTACAATGAAGATATACACACATTTTCTCAGCCCACGTCTAATTACACACGCACACACAGACATACATACATAGTTATATATATACATCTCCTTTTTACACATTTTCTCTTTATATAACACATATCAACGAAGAGAAACATACAATATATAAATTTATATATATAAATAGATATATTGACGCCAAACAAAAGGGGCGATGTATTATCACATTTAAATGATAGTAAAAAAAAAAAAAAAAAAAAAACAAAATAAATAAACACAGAGACTTCTCTCTGATCACTTTATTCTTTTTTTTTTTTTTTCAAGAGTAGATAAAGTAGATTTAAAAANAAAAAAAAAAAAAAAAAAAAAAAAAAAAAGGGAACAAAAGAAAAAAAAGAGACAGACATCCGCAAATTAAAAAAAAAAAAAAAACATCAAGAAAGGAAATTCCTTATTTTCTTTTTTTTTCGCTCTAAACTAGAGAATATTTTTTTTTTTTGGTTTTTATTATTACTATTACTTTTTTTTTTCTTTTTATTAGTTTTTTTTTTCATTTTCTTCTGTTTCTCCTACAGCAGATGAATGAATAGTGTCATAAACACCTAATATATCCCCCCCCCCAAAAAAAAAAAAAAAAAATGAAGAAAAAAAAAACAAAATAAATAAACACAGAGACTTCTCTCTGATCACTTTATTCTTTTTTTTTTTTTTTCAAGAGTAGATAAAGTAGATTTAAAAACTCTTTGCCTTTGGTGGGACCAGGCGGCGGTAGTACTTCCGCTCATTTACTTTCGGGTGGGATTGGAAGTATTCCTCTGAGAGTGGGCGGGCCTCTATTTTGCACTCGTAACTGCTCACATCGCCCTGCACGAACTTCTTTGTCTCGAGTGGGTAGAGCGTCATTTCACACATAATGCCGTCGTCCTCTTCTGTCATGGTGGTTTGGCCAAAGGGCTCCAGTGTGCTATCGACACCGAAGAGATAAAAAATGTGGAATTCGTAGTCTTCTGTGTTGCTGTAGAATCCCCAGGTGCCGGTGCGCTCATCTATGATGCGTAGGAGGAGGCCGTTGAAGAGTGGGGTGGTCATCGTGCCGGTCATGGTGGGGGTGCCGATGAGGGCACCGTTCTTGTTCTTGGAAGAGGAGGAACCCATGAGGAATAGATAATAATAATAATAATAAAAGAAGTAGTGTTTTTCTTTTTTTTTTTCTTTTACTTTTTTGTTAGTAGTTGTAGTAGTAGTAGTTTGTTGTTTTCTTTTAGCTTGTGGGTGCTTGCTGTTTAGGATGAATGGAGAAAAGAGGGAGAAATAAATAAACAAATAAATAAATATATATATGTATATAGATATATATAGTAGTAGTCAATAGTGTCATGTAAACAAGATCCACTCTAGGAAAGAGAAAGAGAGAGTGAGTGAGAAACAAACAATATAAATCAATACTATTAACGTTTTTTTTTTTTTTTCTTTAGCTATGTAAAGAATGAAAAAGAAAGCGACGTACATTGAAGAAACAAATGGGAAACAATCGTGTCGAAAAAAAAGAAAAGAAAAAAGAAACCATTAGTATAATATGCATTATTAGAAGACAATAAAAAACAAAATATGATATTTTTTTTCTTTCTTAACGAACTCCATTCGCCTGTAGTGATAAAAATCCAAACAAAGAGAAAAAAAAAAAAGAGAAAAGAGTGGGAAGCCAGTAAACAAAAACAAAAAAAAAAAGAAACAGAAACAACTCTCCCATTCCGTAATGGGATAGAGGCAATCGAACGAAATATGCTTTAACACCAGTATTTCCACATACATATAAACAACACACATATCTGCATATAGATCCATCTCAACATCCCAAAAATAAAAATCAACTCGTACGGTTGGTAAAAGGACTGTTCTGAGAAGGAAAAGAACAGAAAAGAACAGAAAAGAAAAAAAAAAAAAGCACAATGATGATGAGTCCTTAGCAAACCACACACATACATACACATGTGATACTTGTACAAAAGACTATACACATTCAAAACCATAGATATATATATACAGACTACACACAGACCACACACAAGCACCAGAGAAAATCATAAATATATATATAAATATATATAAATATAAATAAAACACATATATATACCCACACAAAGAGAGCAAGATATTACTTTATTTTTTCTTCTTCTTTTTTTTCTTCTTTTTACTTGTCATCACTTTTACTTCACAGACTTACCCACAAAAGTCCCGGGAAAAGCAAAAGGCGAATCCGATGGGGATGAAACTTGATAACGACACTTAACAGACGTTTCCGAGGCAATTTCAAACTTCATATTATTATGAAAAATTCCTGTCTTGGATGAGAAACGTACAAATCTGGCACGGACACCATTTTCTGTATTATTAGAGGAAGATACACTCTTTGTGGATGTACTACCTCCTTGTTTACTCCCGTCTGATGTACAGGGGAGACTTGTAAAGAAACTCAAAACATAGGATCCCTCTCCAGAGGCACTACGTGGAATAATATAATATGGATTATACTCCGGTAGTAAATCAGCAATAAAACTAACTTGCGGAAATGCATGGAAGGTCACCGCACATCTACTAGGAGCATCACAGTCTTCTGTAGAACTTAAAACGACTTCTTGCAATTTCCCATTTTGTTTTTGTGACGATTTCTTTTTAGACTTTTCACTGTTTCCATTATTCACTTGTTGATGATTATGAAGATGATCCTCCGTGTGGTGTTGTAAACTATTTCTTTTCACGCAATGACGTGAGAGATGCAGGACGATGGGCTCTGGGTAATCCCCTCCTCGTACTATCTGATCTAATACAGTCAGTAAAAAAGTACGACAGGGTACTTCCAACTTGATTACACATCCAGGAATACCTCCTTTTTCAAAATGGTGTTCCACACGATATTGATAGAAGGAACTATGTCGAAAGCAAACACCACATCCACGAAAGTAATGGACTACATCATTCCACTCCATCCAAATGGAACTATCATCTTTGGCTTTTTCATTATAACCACATGCAAGAGCTATGGCTGGATGTTGTGTCCATGCAGGATCACGTGATCCCCAATTTCCCGTCCAATCCGCAGAGTTACCAAAAATATTTCTAAGTTTCACAAGACGCCAAATATTTTCATAGGGTGAAGATTTATTGGTAGGGAGTGGTTTAAATAATTTCATATCTAAAACAGTACAAGCATCCTTTGACGATAATCCAAGTCGTTGGTAGCTTTTATTACCTAATGCAGGGCTTGGTTTATCAAAGATAATCATAAATCCCAATTCCGCATAACGTCTTAGTTTATCAAAGAGTTCCTCATGATGACGTTTCGTGTCTACTAAACCAGCATCCAGGCGGTTTGTAGGATATCCTGTAAGCATGCCTAATGCAACAAGGGTATCTAGTTTCGACAAACAACCATATCCCCCACAGAGTTTCGCACATGCCTTTTCCACCAATCCAACCCACAACTCTGCTGGATCCCCCACACACTTCCCCCCCGCCAGCCGCATATCCAACACGGGGAAGTAGTGATCCACAACAACAGGCGTCCACCAGCCATTTCGGCAGAGTGTGACTCGAGTGGCCCCGCAGTGGTGTTCATCGCCGGCCGCGGATGGGCCGCCGGGGTGTCGGAAGAGTCGCGCGACATCCGCGGGCTCCTCGGCGAGGGCGGCGAGCGCACACATCAGCGGCCGGCCGCCAACGGCACTCACGCCCACCGATCGCGGTCGCGGGGCATTATGCAAAACATACGATGATGCCGTGATGACGGTGAGAATAGATGGGGACTGCGGTGGGGGGGTGAGATAGGCGGGGAGATAGTGTTCGGGTTTACACCAACCACAGCGGAATGGGGCCTTCTCTGGATCCGCATGACTACCAAGAAGAGAAGAGATATTTGGTGGAAACTCTGTATCCATGAATGGAATTTGTTTCTCTACACACCAACGAAGTACATCCTCACTAGTGGTATGCCATGTGCTGTTTGAACCACGTTTAATACCTTTTGATGAAAGAAGAGCATAAATTCTTTCTTTTTCTTCTTTAAGAAATGGTTCACAGGCACGGATAGAAGCTTCCATAAATGCACGACTGACTGGACGTAGTTTAACATCATGTTCAAACATTTTTACTGTTCCTTGTATGAAATTTTGTGTATCACCTGGATGAACGACGAGATGAGCTTCTAAACTTCCATCAGATCGTTCTCGTAATGTTGTAAAGCCCATTACTTCAATTCGGGATTCCTCACTAAAAATGCATAATACTTCTAATTCATAAAAAACAGTATCATTGTAAAATCTCCAAGTGCGTCCATCTAGGCTTACAATCCTATAACAACAAGCTATTTCCCCATCATTCACAGGAATTAGTAAAGGAATAATATCCTCACCTCCACTTAACTGAGATGGATAACCGTGTTTAAATCGACCTCCACCTCTTCCCTGATAATTATGAATCTTTACAGGAATCAGGGATTCACTACTACTACTATCACTATTATAATAGACGTATCCGTGAAGATATTCATCCTTTGAATAAGGGTTATCATATTCTGTTCCCAGAACTACTTTAGGAGAAATAGCTGTAGTTAACTGCAAGGTTGTATCCCAATCATCATTGGCACATATTAATGATGAGGCAAGCGGTTTATAGGATTGGCTTTGATTTTTGCTATACGATGCTCCCTCCATACTCACACGACGGGGAGGACCTTCTGCGGAACAGGAAACAAGACTAAAATCACCGGCACCATTCGTACGAGTTCCCCATGGCCCATGTACTGCTGCTCGTGAGGCTCCACTTCCCATTTAGTACTAAATAATAATAATAAAAAAAAATAATAACAATAATGCTAATAACTCTGTGGAATATGAGAATGACAAAACACAAAGATAAGAAAAAAAGGTTTATGGTAGGGGAACTCCCTGTATATATATATATATATATATATATATATATATATAACCCTCTTCCTTTTTTCTTCTCCCCTGGTTTCCTACAAATATGAGAAAAAAAAAGAAGAAAAAAAAAAACATGAATGCAAATATACTATTCTCTTGTCCTCAAAAAATAAGAAAGGTTTATACCACCACCACATTGCAAATATCAATCAATGTTAAGAGGAAGAAAAAAAAAAGAATCATTATCACACTTCCCTTTTACTCCCGCTTTTCTTCTTTTTTTTTTGTTTCTTTCTTTCCCCCTTCCCAATACAGTGAGTCTTTGCCCTCTTCTTGCATTTATAGCTTTCAATAGCACCTCTTAACGAACGTTAATAATAACAATAATAATAAAAAGACACTCAAAAAAAAAAAAAATGGCATCGGAGAGTCAAATCACTACCTACCAAAGAGAAGGGTAGATAGATAGAGAACGACATCAAGTGAAAAAGAACTACGGAAGAAAAGTAGAAATTAAAAAAAAAAAAAATACGAGAAACAAAAACAATGAAAATACGCATCTTCCGCATTCCCACATTGCCTTTGTTATTGAGACTCGTGTCAGAAGGTTTGTTTATTTTCTTTTTTTTTTTTTTCTTCTTCCATTCTCCCTGCAAAGACTATCCCTCACTCTATAATCCCCACCCCTTCAGTATGCAGGCAACCACAAAGACGTCTATGCACATAAGTGATGAATAGTCTTAAGAATAATAATCATAATCATAATAATACAAAACACAATCATCCGGCTGTTGTGACTCCTACAGCCATTTATAGGTGAGGTGGAGAGTTTATTTTTTTTTTTTTCCTTTTTCTGGTGGGTCATCATCATCATCTCCATCGATCAAAACACCTACACCTACACAGAGAGAGAGATCCACTTTGCTTGCAACTATCACTACTATGGGAAAGTCCATCTTTTGCCACGGAATGGAACCCTCATGGGTATGATAAATAATGTGAATGTACAGAAATGCACAAACACATTTATTTATTTATTTATTTTTCTTCTCTAGATTCGATACATTTATATGGTCGAATCATATACAGATCATGAATATGAACGACGCAGGAAACCCCAATTGGGAAGTTAGGAGAATAAAACAAACACACATATAAACAAAGAAACAAAAAGAAGAAAAAAAAAATAGAACAAGAATCTATCGGAACAAAAAAAAAAAGATCACTACTAATTTTATTTTTTTTTTCCGGTTCTACGGTTCCGCGTTGTCTCTTCTCTCTTCCTTTTTTTTTTCTTTACAAAAGTGATGCTTTCATTCTTTTCTTTTGCTTTTCTTCTTCAGTAGGTAGAAAATCTCCTTTTTTATTTTCCTCTGAGAAATATATATATATATATATATGGCCTTCCTCTTTAAGCACTACTAGTACTATCATCATCACCCCTCAACCTCACAGTAAGAAACTCTCATGTGTAGTAGAAACAAAATAATAAGCAGAGAAAGTGATTCAATTCTCTGTAATGATGATGATGATAATAATGATATTGTCATTATTGTTGTGTTTGATGTTCTCATCTCTCTCTCTTTCTCTTTCTCTCTATTTCTCTGTTTATTTCTCTATCCATTGCGAGAGAAACACAAGAGCACAGAGGACCGTGTAGAAATGGGTTAAGAGGGAAAGAAACGAAAGAAGGGGGATGAAAGAGAAAAACAATATAAACAAAAAAAGACCTCTTCATAAGAAGAAGAAGAAGGAACAAAAAAAAAAGACCAAATCGTGAGAAAACCGCCATGAAAAAAGTCCAACAGAGATGAAATATTAGAAAAAAAAAAAACATGAACGGTGTGACGCAAGATTTGTAATGATAGAAACATCACCAATATCAACAAAAGCAAAAAAAAAAAAATTCTAGAGAAAAAAAAACAGTTGAAATAACAGAGAAACATAATATATAAACAAGGTAGTCAAGAAAAAAAAAAAAAAAAACATTATGTGAACATCACCCTGAAGGAATATATTTAAAAGAAAAGAAAAGAAAAGAAAAACACTTTATCTATTGCTTTTTAGTTAATATTCTTATTAAGAGTTTTCAACGTTCCTCTCTTTTTTATTTTTCTCCTTTCACCTTATCCATTCGTGAGAAGAGAAAATAACTAAGGGAATAGACCAAAAAAAAGAAGTAAAATACCTCGCTTTGATTAAAATAAAAATACCACATTTTATTCTTTCTGTTTTTTTTTTTTTTTTTTTTCCTCCTTTGGATCTCACATTCTAGTCACATTCTGACTCCCCCTTCCACTAATGAGGTGTTACTTAATTCTTCTTTGACTTTTTACTGCTGTCATTATCACTCTTCTTCGCTCCACTCATACTTTGTGTGATCTCTTTACCGCTAAACTCCTTTGGAAATCCCTCTTCAGGGCAATGCACCTGAAAGGTGGCTACTGTAGACTTCCCCTTACCTGAGAAGTCTGCCTTATTGTTAAATATCGCACTCTCTTCTGGAATTCTCTGGAACTCTACCTTTACATCAGAGCCAATACCATCATCGCAGAAGAGACCCAGAACGTAAGGAACCCCAGTCTTATCAGACATCATGCGAGGGATAAGAAGATATGGGGAGTTCTCCGGTGTGAGTGTACACAACATCCCCACATCACGACTCTGCATGAATGTAAACTGATTAGTTGGATGATCCGCGTCCAGGTTACTATTCTGTTCCACCTGCATCTCAGATGTAGATCCTTTTCCACTACTGAGAGTGAGCATAATTGGTGGATATTCCTCTGGGGCATTCTCCTTGCCTCTGTGATCTTCCTGAGAAAGTGTACACGCAATATAGGTCTTTTTCTTAACCGTAAACTGAACACATACATCAGGAATGCCTTGATTAAAGGATCCACGAATGCGATAGTCTTTACTGTGAGGATGAGTAAATACAACTCCACATCCGTTGAAATACTTTTGAACATCCTTCCACGACATCCAGAAACATCCCTCTACTTGTGCAGGATATCCACACGCCGCAGCCACCCTTGGATAGGTTTCCCATTTTGGATCTGAATCATTCCAATCCCCCTTCCATTCAACATCTTTTACCCATGGATTGCGAATCTGCATAAGGGAAATTTTATCCTCTGGAATGTGAACAACGGAAGTTACACTGTATCCAAACCCCATTAACAAACCAGCCTCCTTGTAAAGTTTTTCTTTTTCCTCATCTTCAGCAGTTTTAACAGGAGTACTTAAAACAATAAAAAATCCTTGACGATTGTACCGTTCTAAACGCTCAAGTAACTCTGTATCTTCAGCTTCAATATCTTTCGCCAAAGATTCATCATATCGGGTAGTTGGATACCCTGAAAGATCTTGCAGAGCAAGTAATGGATCACCAGCGATAATATTTGCATAACTTCCATGAAGTTTAGCGTAGGCTTTTTCCATCATGGAGACCCACATCTCACATGGATCATTAGCGGATCTGGCATACTTTGCCACTCCACCAACAACAGGAAGGTAATTATCCACAATAACATTTTGCCACCAACCATTCTTATTAAAAGTAACACGATGTGCTCCAACAGCACGTTCTTTGGCTGTAATTTCAGGATCGACAGGATGAGAAAACATTCTTCGTACCAAAAATGGATTCTCTGCAAGAGTAGCGATAGCGCAAGTAACCCAGCAATCCCCAAGATCTCCTTGATCAATATTTAATGCATTGATTTTATTACGGAATAAACGCACAAGAGGAGCATAACCATCTGGAAGGTACATATCTTGACGAGCCCAAGGAAGTACCTTCATAGGTCGATTAGAACCTTTTGCAATGGAATCTTGACAAGGTGGAAATTTAGTATCAACAAATGGGATTCTTAATCTTACACACTTTGCAAGAATATCATCTTCTGTTGTACAGTCATCAGACATTTCCCTTACTCTTACCAATTCTTCTTCTATCCGTTGGCCGTACTGTTCAGCTTTGGTTTTAAGATATTCCTCTGATAATGGTAATGCATTGATTTTACTTTTAAAACCAGTAAAGGATCCCCTTACATATTTAACGGTTTCACCAGGATATACAACCAATTCTGCAAGATATTCTTCTGTACCATCCAAGTTCGTTACTTTTGTATTTCCTAATGGTCGAACAGTAGAACCTTTATTAAATGTAAAACCGACATGCATTTCATAAGTACGAGTATCATTGTAAAAGGCCCAGACATCATCTTTTACAATACGATATAAAAGACCATTGTCAAAGCATGGTATGACTTCTTCTCCAGTAAAAGTTGGTCCAGCGAGTTTAAATATTTTATCTTCAGGTCTCTTTTCTGGTAATGGTTGAATAGTGCGTTCTTCAAATTCATCAATATCTTTCTTCTCAACCTTCTTAGCTCCGTTTTTCTGTTGTTGTTGTTGTTCACGGTTGGCGGAATTGGTTACCACCCCTCCTGATTTCCCACAAGATAGTCCACAACCCATACTTTTTTAATGGGTAGGATGTACCTCAATTAGTAGAAGGCTAACTCTATCTAAATAAGAAGAAAAAGAAGGATAGTCTATCCCTTTCTAGAAGAAGAGAAGAAGTTTAAAAAAAAAAAAGAAGAAAAAAAAGGCGTTAAACTTTGTCTTTTTTTTTTTCTTTATTTCTTTCTTTCTGAACTAAACTACTTTTCTTTCTTTTACTTTTTAAGTGTGTGTGTGTATTTTGCGTGTTGGGTATTTATTATTCCTTGGTTGATTAGTTTTGTCCACGAATATCACGATGGCTTATCCTTAAAGAAAAAAAGAAGAAAAGAATAGTGAAGAAAGACAGGCACTACAGTCGACAAAAGTTAAGAAAAGAATAAAATGATTTAATGAAAAAAAAAAAATGGAAATGATACCCTTTTTTTCTTTTTTTTTTTTTTCATCCCTTCTTGCCTCTACCCTTTAGTGACACCGCTCTTGTCAGTTTTGCTTTTTCCCAACCACTCACGAAAATAGTAAAATAAAAAATAAAAAAAAGAACGATTTTCACATTGCTTCTGTATACCGTATAATAATTTCCCCTTTTTTTTTCTTTTTTTGCTCTTGTTGTTATTATTCCTGACGCACTTCACTTATTATTCCTGAAATTCTCTACAGATATATATTATATAATATATATATATATATATATATATACCCTCACCGCACTCAGTTTTTAAAAACAAGGAGACCCTTCAGGTAATAAGAAATCACACATTGCGATACCAAAAAGAATAAAATTTTGAAAAATGAAGGGGTTTCACAATAGTGAACAGAAACAAAAAAAAAATAAAAATAAAATAAAAATAAACACTGAGAACCCAACTTCACACACACACACAAACTCCCAATGGTTAAGAAACATAAGTATCATACAGCAGATAAAGTCAAATCATTTGCAGCACCCAAGAGGAATTTCACATACTCCTCCTCTTCTTTTTTTTTGTTTTACCAGATATTTGATTACACCGATCATCAGGAAGAAAAAGGTAATAAAAAGTGTATATATACATACACATATGTATATATATAAACTTTTTCTACTATCACCACACGTATTCCCTTTGGTTGTTCTTATTCTCTTCTCACAACCTTATTCTTTCCAAAATACATTCACAAAACAATCATAAACAATGACTATGGTATTTCGTTAGGATGGTGTATTTTTTTTTTTTTTTTCTTCCTTCATTTCATTCCTGCTCAAAAAAAAAAAAATATATATAAATAAATAAAAAAATAAACATATACTCAAGGAGACACCAGAAAAAACTAAAACCCAAAGATAAAAAAAAAAAAAAAACACGTATCAATAACATGAGGCCACGAATAACAATACATAAACACACACATACACATACCCTCTCTCTCTCTCTTTTTCTTTTTTTTCTATTATTTTGTTTTTTATATATCTACTTTTTTCTTGTACAGGGCCAACATATGGTCTCCCTTTTTTTTTTTTAAAGTGTTGGTGTGTCTGTACAGTGTTATTGCATTCGTTTGTCATTTAACAACATGCTTTGTGTACACAACTCACTAGAAGCAAAGAAGAAAAAAAAAAAATGTCATGATATTAATTTTGTTTTTGTTTTTGTTTTTTTTCCTTTCTGTGTTTGTGGGGTGTGTCACCTGCAATGCTGCTGTGAAAAAGAAGGAATATAAAAAAAAAAAAAATACAAACAGAACCACCCATTTCTTTTTTTTTTTTCATTTCTTTTAAATGGGAGTCATAGAATTTCTAATTGAATCATCACTACATTTGACAGAATAACACATATCGTAAGAAACATAAAAGGGAAATAAGAACCAAAAGCAGAGATAACTACAAGAGAAAATATTTCAAATGATAGCTAAGAAATATATATATATACTGCACGTATTCTCTTTTTTTTTTCTTATTGTGGAGCTTTTTGCTTTTTCTTTTCCTTTCTTTTTTACTTCTGCAAGTTGGTACCCACTTCTCTTTTTTTTTTTCTTGTTGTTTATTCTTCTCCACTACAAGATTTCAACTGCTGTCTTGTAGTCCAAATGTGAATTGTTATCTTTGGTTTGGTACGTTACCTCTACAGGTTCCGATTTAACTGCGAATTGAGGATAATTTTCAAAAACATCCGTATCTTCTGGTAGAGACTTAAACGAAACCCTCACAGGTCCACCTTCGGTTACGGCCACGGGTGAAAGTACACCCAATGTAAACGGTAAGGTCACCCCTCCACTCTCCGCAACGTTCATACGTCGAGGGACCACCAAATAAGGAGATTGCTCTGGCGTAAATTCATAAATCATGCTTACATCACGACCATGTAAAAAGACATAATCGCTACTTGGAACTTCTGCATCTGCAGAGGTGTTGGCCACAACATTAAATTGATGACCACCATCTTCACTGCAGGCCAGATTTAATAAAATGGGATCATATTCTTTTGACTCCTTATCTGTGCCTCGATGATCGGGTTGAGAGAGAATCAAGGCGAGTACCACTGGAGAGGTTACAGATATCTCTAGACACACATTAGGCACTACTCTAGTAAAGCTTCCAGGTATTCGATAATCAAAAGATGAAGGATAATTAAAAAGTACACCACATCCAACAAAATATTCCTTCACATCTGCCCAATCCATCCATAGAGAATCTTCAGAACCATCACGATTAGTACACTCTGCAGCCACATCTGGGTTTGCCTCCCATAAATGGGATGATGGACTCCAGTTACCTTTCCACTGTACTCCATTACTCCATGGATTACGAAATCGGAATAATCCAAATCCGTTTACATACTGCAAATTAAGTACAGGTAATGCATATCCAATAGTTATACCAGCTTCCTTATACATGTTCATTCGCGTCTTTTCATCATTTGCTCCAGAAGTACTAAACAAAATGGTATGCCCTGCATTACATAACATAAGAAGACGTGTAAAAAATTCATTACTCTTGTCAGGATTACTTTTTGCTTCAGAGAATGCGGCATCAAGACGAGAAGTTGGCCACCCTGTTAAATCCCGAAGGGCAAGAAGGGGATCACCACTAGCAATATTAACAAAACCTCCATTACGTTTAGCGTAGGCTTTTTCCAATATTGAAACCCATAATTCACATGGATCAGTTCTACTGCGTGCAAAACGTGGTTTACCAGCAACAACAGGTAAAAAATCATCCACCACATAAGATTTCCACATACCATCTCTGTTAATAAGGGCCCGATAAGCTCCTACAGAGGATTCTTTGGTGGTCTGTTTAGAATCTGTAGGGTGTCGAAAAATATTTTTAACTTGATCTGGTTTCTCTGCCAATATAGATGTAGCACTCATTACCCAAGAATCACTTAATTCTCCTTGTTCCAATGATGATGGGGTAATAGGATTTCGAAATAATGCCACATAATCCACAAGCTCTTTTGGAAGGTATTCTGATGGTCTAAGCCATGGTAATGATATCATAACTCCTTTGCCAGCATCCAGAGATTTGTCTGTAGGTGGAAATGAAGGATCAACAAAAGGAACATTACGTGCAATACACTCTTTCAACACTTCTTCTGGGTCCTGAGATGCACATACTTGTGAAACTTCATTTATAGCCTTTTTAACAGATTCCACATTAGCTGATGAAACTTTTTCCAAGTATTCTCTTGAAAGAGGTTTACCTTCAAAACGACTCTTATAGCCATTCCATGTTCCAGATACAAACATGGTTGTTTCAAGTGGACAAACCACCGTGGTGGCCACAAACTCTCCATCTTGATTGGGTTTAATTTTGGTGTTATCAAGTGCAGTTAATTTAGAATCCTTTCCAAAGGTAAAGGTAACATTCATTTCAAATGTAGTGGTGTCATTATAGAGAGCCCACTTCTTTTCTTCCTGGTTAATAACGCGAAATAAATGACCTCCATCAAAGCAAGGGGTTACCTCGCCTTCATAGGTAGGACCACATCCACGCCAAGGTCCATTTGATTTTTTTTGGACCTCAGGAAGCGGCTGAACGTTAGCCTCATTAAACTCATCAAAACAATTTGTATCAACCTTCGCTGACATCTTACGTTATCCCTGTATTGTAGTATTTCTTATTTCTATACTTTGTAACTTCCTTTTCTTTCTTTTTTTTTTCTTTTTCTTTCCTTTACTCTTCTTCTTAAGTCTTACGGCTTGTGATAGATTGATCTAACAACCACAGTTCTACTGACTGCGTTTCAATACGTAATACACCCTCTTGCGATGTCACTATCTTTAAAAAGAATAGTAAAGAATAGTAAAAAGAGAAAAAAAAGAAAAGAAAAGAGAAAAAAAAAGAGAGAAGGAGGCAAATAACAAGTGTATGTTACGATGGATACATTATAAGAAAATCCAACCAATAAGATTAGTGACCCCCACTTAAAAAAAGAAAAAAAAAAATGGGCAATTCTTAACCAGTATCACGGACTCTACCAAGCAGTTAAAAAGAGATAAATAGGACGAATGAAGAGAAACAGAAGACCACAGCAATCGATTGAAGCAGTTCATCAACAACTCTCTTCTTCGTTTCTTTTTGTTTTTAATTTTGACATTAACCATGAGAAAAGAAAAAAAAAAAAAAAACGTATGGAGTATTAGATTAAGGCGAAGAAAAAAAAAAAAAAAGAAAAGTGACTGGTAAGAAGCAATTTGTGTATCCCTTGTTTGCTTGTAATAATTGGTTTATTTATTGGATCATGCCCATGCCCATGCCCCCTACTGCAGGAATAAAAAAAGAACAACCAACAGGGTCCTATAATGAGATTGGTGAGCATAATCACATATTTTCACCAAAAATAGATACACCAAATAATATAATATGGTAATAAAAATAATAATCATAATCATAGTAAAAATAAAATAAATAAATAAATACGCTTGTAGCACATGCATTTATTTGCTTTTTTTTTTTTTTTGTTTTTGCTGCTCTTTTACGTCATCAGTAACTATCATTCTTTTCTTTTTTTTTTTACTTTTTTGACCCATAATCGAGTCAACCCAAAACAGCTTACCTCACTCAATATCCATACGCGAAACAATAACTGGACTATGATGACAACAAAAAAGGAAAGGAAAAAAGAAGCCTCCAGAAAGAAACCCCAAAAACAAAGGAACGGCAAAAGGGAAATAAAAAAGGTGAAAGGCGAAAAAGAACATAAAATCAAGAGAACCATGAAAATTATGAAGATCATCGCACAATAAAAAGGAATAAAAAAATAAAAATAAAAACAACGGAAACATTAGAATGCAATAAAGAAATAAATAAAAAAACATTCTAACATACACTTTATTATTATTAGCAGCGCTGCTGTTGTCGTTGTTTTTTATTTATTATTATTACTATTTCTTCGTGTACCTTTCCAATCTAGATTGTGGGTACATTCTCTGGTGAATTTGTGCGACATCACACTTGTACTGGTCTCTTTAATTATATTTTGCATTTCTACAATTATGACATTGGAAGATGCAACCCTCACTTTCTTTTTCTTTTTCTCTGAATCTCACTAATTCTTTTTTCCCTTATCACATGAAATAACTACTTTACTGACAATCACTGGAATTGAAAATCCCAGCAGCAAAAAAAAAAAAAATAATAATAAATAAATAAATAACAATGACAAAAACAAAACAAAATAAAAAGCAGTGAGGCACTTATTATTCACATTATAAGGGTGTCCCCTTTAAAGATTTTCTACCTATTTAATTTCCCTATTCCCTTTTCCCAATGTCAGCATGTCTCTTTCGCTATCTCTCTCTCTCTCTCTCTCTCTCTGGGTGTGTGTGTGTAGATAAGAGTGAGAATGAGATATACATACATACACAATAGATATATTTATATATACCTAGTTAGACTTTCTTAGAAACAAATATCTGCTTATTCTTACGAATCATCCACTTGTATGATGGTTCCGGCGTAGATGTCTGGGAAGAATTGCTCAGGTGCGAGTGCCTGAAATTCCGTCTGGCATGGTACAGTGATGGCATCAAAAGTTCTGATATTATCAAACAATGGAGATCCTGGTGCGAGGGCACGGAAGCCGACATGTACGTGAGTGTTAGGTGTTCCCACTGCGATTGGAGAACGTAAACCAAGAACATAGGGGAGTTCTGCGTATGAACTCATCGTGCGTGGAACGACAAGGTATGGGGAGTTCTCTGGAAGGAATTCATAGAACAGGCTTGTCTCTCGGGTTTCAAAGAAGGTGTATTCTTGTGTCGGGTGGTCTGTGTCGAAGCCGCTGTTGAGATCGACCCGCATAGGGGAAAGGGCTCCGCAGCCGTGGGCAATGCTAATCATGATAGGTGAGTACTCCGCCTTATCTGTTCCCCGACGGTCATCCTGGGAAAGCATCACACACATGATAACAGGTACCCCCACTGTAATTTCCAGACAAGTAGTGGGTACACTTTGCATAAAACAACCACGAATACGGAAATCATACATGGGATCTTGAATGAAACAAACACCACAGCCAGTGAAAAGATTAATAGCCTCACCCCACTCAAGGAAAAAGGAACCATCTTCTTCTTCATTATAGTTACAAGCGTTAGCAACATCTCTGTACTGTTTCCATTTGCTATCACCTCTCTTCCAAAGGCCTTGCCAACGAGGACCATGTTCACGAACCCAAGGATTACGGACGTGTAACATTCGAAGGTCATATTGTGGGAAATACATTATTTTTAACACAGCATAAACATGACCAAGGTAAAGTCCAACACGTTCATAGAATTCTTCAGATAATCCATTCGGACGTCTCATTAAAAGTTCTCTTGTAGGGGTAGTCATTACAGCTTGGTAACCAAAGCTGTTGTATTGCAATAAGTGACCGAACAATTCCATACCTCCATTTGTGGAAGCTTCAATAAAAGCATTATTAAAAGATGAACAAGGGTAACCAGTTAAATCTTGAAGTGCGTGTAAGGGATCACCAGCAATAATAAAACCATAACCTCCATGTATCTTTGCATAAGCCTTTTCAAGTATTGAAACCCACAACTCCAAAGGATCTCCTTTGCTACGTGCAAATTTAGGACGTCCACCTGCACAAGGTAAATAATCATCCACAATAACATTTGTCCACCAACCATTTTTGTTAAATGTAACACGATAGGCACCAACTTCACGTTCTTTTTTTCCTTCATCCAAACTGAGAGGATGACGAAATAAATCACGTACCTTGTCTGGGAATTCTGCAACACATGCCACTGCGCCAACGAACCAGGAATCTCCCAGATCTCCTTCATCAATATTATTTGGATGAACACCATTACGAAACAAACGAGCTTGTTTTGCATTTTCATCTGATAAATACATACAAGGTCGTAACCATGGAATCATCTTTAATTCTATTAAAGATCCAATTTGAAGTGACTCCTGCTCTGGTGGAAAAGCAAAATCCACAAATTTTATCCTTTTGGCAACACATGCTCTTAAAGTCTCGTCAGTGGCCACATCAGAACCTACCAAATTGTAGATGTCGTAAGTTTCCTTTTCAATTGTACCCTTATTTTCCACAACCAGATCTTCCAGATAATTATCTGAGAGTTCTTCTGCCTTGATATTACTTGTGTAACCCCCAGGTTCACCTTCGATAAAAAGTTCAGTTTCAAGTGGATATACTATCACACTACAGGTATAGGAGCCATCAGAATTTTTTCTCATTGAAGTATTTTGAAGAGCCTTAATATTTGACTCATCATCAAATGTTACCTCCACACGCATTTGACAATTTGGTGTATCGTTGTAGAATGACCATCGTGTTGTCCTTCCTTCTTCTACAATACGAAACAGTAGACCCTCGTCAAAGCATGCAGTCGCAGTTCCTTCGTATGCAGGACGTCCATAACAGTAATCTGTATAGTTACGGTCAGTTACGGTCCCCTCATCAAACTCATCCACAGCACCAAAAATGCTATTGGTGCTCATTCCAGATTCCCTTGCTCCATAAAAAGACATGATATCTTAAAAACTCAATTGCACTTTTACCGATACTTTTTTAGGACTGGGGTTTTTTCTCGTTTTTTTTTTCTTTCTTTTTTAGTTTTTATTGATATATGCACAGTCTTTATTTCCTAATAGGTCTTTCCGATTACGTAACTGTGTGAGTCTGCTTCAGAAAGAAAAATTGAGGGGTGAACTCTTTAATTCCCGTAATATTTCTTTTTGATCTGAATAATCTTGTCGAGAAAACGTGGGACAACTTTACTACTCTTTTATGTAAGAAAAGGAAAAGAAAAAAGGAAAAAAAATATATATGCAATAGATGAGAAAACAACAGAGAACCCATAGGATACTCACCGGAAAGGAAAAAAGGAAAGAAAAGAAAATCTTCTACAACACATATTTAGATATTTTTACTTTCTCGCGTAGAGGTCATTCAGTTTCACCTTCCTTTCATCTCTCTTCATAAAAAAAAAAATATTTTGCAGAGTATAGGAAAAGATACGGACTGCCGACGAGAAAACACGCAAGGCAAGAACAGATAAAAAAAAAAAAAAAAAANAAAAAAAAAAAAAAAAAAAAAGTAAAAACAAAACAAAACAAAAAAACAAAAACACAGAATCAAAAAGGGGTTAACTATGATGATAAACCGCTAAAACGAGAAAAGGCATGATACTCTGCTGTTGTTTAAACTAACAGGCCAGCCTTTACTACATTTCTATGATACCTTCACATAGTCCAGAAAAATAAATATGTAACCCCTGTCTTTTACCGTGTCCCTTTAAATACCTTTCCTTTGTCCACCCTTGAAAACACAGACTGCGAAAATTGCACTATAGCATATGTACATATGTATGTACACGTATCTAGTCAACCGCATTAAAGGAACAAACGCATAAATCAATAAGGAAGAATCACGGAATAATAATAAAAAAGCAAAGGGGAAACAATGTCACCAAATTATTTTTGCCCTCACATAAATATAACGGTTTTTTCAGGAGTTTTTTCATATTCGGTGTATGTCGCACAAACCATTTTTTTTTTCTTTTTACCACCCACCAACCCCTTTTTTTTTCTTTTGTTTTCTTCGTTAATACAAAAATATCAGATGAGCACTCTTCATCTAAATATATAAAAAAAACAAAGGAAAAAAGGATCAACCAAACACGAAAAAGGCAGTGAGAGCACTATAAAGGTTCGAAAAAGAGTACTTTTTAATTTTTTTTTTTCTTTTTTCTTGTTCTAATCATTTTTTTTTCTTGATATCTCTTCCCCGAAAAAAAAAAACGGAAAAAGTAGATCCCTCTTTTATTAACGTAAAAACACATCGCGGTTAGCGAACAGGTTGGTTCTCGTTTTCTCTTTAGTATTCAGATGTTTTTGTTTTTTTTTTCTCGTGCTTGAGTTGTTTTTATGCATTCCTACACAAGTTTATTCTTTTTTTTTCTTTTTTTCGCGGTTCTTATCGACCCTTTTTTTTTACATTTTGTTCTTTTGCATTTTTTTTTTACGTTTCACGGATACATTTTTCTTTTTTTTCGTACGTGTTGCAAAGAAAAAGAATGTGCATATTCGATGCAACCAGTTCATTTCGAACCCTGTGGTTCGAAGACGATGAGAACTACTTACTTAGCGTTTGGGTCAGCAATAATAATAACAATAATGGTAATAACAATAGTAGTAGTTGTTGTTCTAGTAGTGATAGTTCTGGTTTCTGTATCAGTGGCAGGAAATCTTCCGTATAACTTACTGCACTGATGACCCTTCCTTAGTCTTGGGGTATCCATCATTGGCCATCTTTGCTTGGTACTCCACTTCGACTGGAGTTACCTCAGGATCAAACTTGGGGAAGTTTTGGAACACACGATTATCCTTATCCAATTTCTTGAAGTTAACTGTGACACCTTCCTGACCAAGAACTTTATTGCATGAAAAACCCAATGTATAGGATACTTCCCCAGCCTGTCCTTCCATAGGCATAAGACGAGGAATTAAAAGGTAGGGTGAATGATCTGGGAGGAATTTGTGCATCAAACTCACATCACGTGCTTGGAAGAAGGTCCATTTATCAGTGAGTGGATGAGAAGCATCAGCTGAACTGTTCTCCACCACCTTGTACAATTCATCTTCAACTGGATGTGCAACACTTATCATAACAGGTTGATATTCACTCACATCAGCGCGACCACGTTTATCCTGTTGGGAAATTGTAAAACACATCCATGTTGGTTCTTCAACACTGACTTCAAGTACACAAGATGGTACGCAATCCACAAATTTCGAAGGTACACGGTAATCATTAACGGAAGGCTGGAAAAAGGATACACCTCCTCCATTAAAATAATAAAGACAAGTCTCCCATGTCATCCAAAAAGTACCATCGTTGGCTTTTTGAAAAGAGCAGGCCTCAGCCACATCAGGGTACTGCTCCCATTTTTCATCATCATCACACCAATCACCATTCCATTCAGTATGACGACCCCATGCGTTACGAACCTTCACCAAACGCAATTCATACTCGGGGAAGAATTTCGCATCAAGGATAGTATATGCATGACCAGTGAGGAGTCCAACACTTTTGTATTGATTAACCAATTTAGGATCATTTGACGTACCATCTCTGGGATCTTTACCTGGTGTACTCACAATTATCAAGTAGTGAGACTTGAGATATTTTATCCAATCTTGGAAGAGATCATCTTTGCCAGAACGGGAAGCATCAGAAAAGGCTTCATCAAAGCGACAGCAAGGACGTCCTGTAATATCTTGAAGAGCGTGAAGAGGATCACCTGAGCAAATACTTGCGTAACTTCCATGTAATTTAGCAAATGCTTTTTGCATAATAGAAGGCCAAACCTCAGCGAGGTCATTTTTGCTCTTTGCATATTTAGGTTTACCACCAGCAATAGGAAGATAATTGTCAACAATTACACTGCGCCATACTCCATTTTTGTTAAAAGTTACACGGTATCCACCAACCGCACGTTCCCTCTTTCCCATTTCAGGATCAGTTGGGTGACGGAACATGTTAACAATACTTTTAGGATTTTCTGACACTGCAGCGACAGAGCATAGCAACCAGTTATCACCCAATTCTCCTTGATCCACTTCAGCAGGTCGAATAGGACCTCTGAAAAGACGAACCTGATCAATCATATTATCAGGCAAGTATGAAGAAGGACGAGCCCAAGGGAGATGCTTGAAGGGTTTCTTTGCTCCAGTATCTAGTGAAGCTTGACAAGGGGGAAATTCAAGATCCACAAAAGGAATACCGTTTTCAACGCAAGTTCTTAAAACTTCTTCAGAATTAGTCACGTCACCAACAAATCCTTTAATTTGTGCAATTTCTTGTTGAATTGTTTCATCAGCAAGTTCTTGACGACGAAGATAGTACTCTTCAGATAATGGGAGAGCCCGAAGCTTGCTTGTAAAACCATTTACATTACCCTTTACAAACATCTCTGTTTCACCAGGGTAAACAACAACCTCAGCCACATGTTCACCATTAGCTTTGGTATGCATTCCTGTATTTTCAAGTGGCTCTAACTTGGAGTGTTTTCCAAATGTAAACTGCACATGCATTTCATAGTTGCGAGTATCATTGTAGAATGCCCATGTTTTTTCTTCACGGTTCAAAATACGGTAAAGTAAGTTAGGTTCATCAAAGCATGAAAGATAATCACCTTCATAGTCTGGTTCACCATTCTTAAATGCTGGTTTTTCAACAGCCCCTTCCTCTTTCTCATAAACTGGTTGCATTGCTGTTGCCATCTCGAACTCGTCATCAGTATCCTCATTGACATCATATTCAATGGGATCCCAACGAGAAGGTTGAGTGAACGGATGTTTCCTCGGTTTAAATAGACAATTAACCTCTTGGGTGTGAGGCGGAAGTACCTCATCTTCAGGAGAACCTTGATCAGCAGTTTCAACACGCCTTACATCCCGTTGATCCTCTTCACGATCTACAGATCTTCCCTTGTCAACATTATCCTCTTCGGCTTGCCCGGATTTATCCTGCCCCTGTTCCTGCTCTCCTTCACCTACGGTAGGTGGAACCGTTTCTTCCTCAACGTACTCTCCCACATCCTTATCAGCACCTCCTTCTGCCGGTTGAGGCTCATCATGATGCACTTTTTCCTCTGCGGCATAAACACGATCCTTCTCTTCTTGTACATATTCTTCTGGATCCCGCTCAGTTTCAACGGTAACTTCCTCAGGAAAATCCTGCTCTTCCGTTTGTTGTTGTCCTTGGCTCACATTCTCCTCTGCAACAGGAGCGGCTTGGCTTTCCGATTCCTCCTTTGGATACTCAGCCGGTTCCTGATCTCCATTAT